CCACGTTGCCATGGCGCCTGTGGGAGAGTACCTGGAAGATCAGTTTCCTCTTGGAGGACCCCTTGTCATGTGCCACGTTAGTGGGAGAGAGGGTATGAATTTGATCCGGTCTGGAGTTTTTTTGTATTATTGGGCGTCCGTTTCTACATTGGAAGAAGGGGTTTTTAGGGAACCACCCCACAAGTTGGACCTCTGTGCCTGTATGAGTTCTTGAGAAGGTGGGCATATTGAAATTGGGTAAACCTTGCCTTGAGCTGCCGAAATAGCCCATGCGCGTGGAATGCCCAGGTTCCTGGCCCTTTTTGACCCGAATTGGTTCGAGGGCTGGGCCAAAGACTCTCACTTGAAGGGAGGCATAGCTTCATAGCCCGCGCTCCGGAAGCTATAAGGTGCCTTCAGTTGGGCGATTTGGTTTGTCTTTCCGTTTTTCCGTACCTGGCAGTCAGGTTGCCCCTAGTTGGTGGTTTGGATTTGGATTTGAGTTCTTGGTGTTTGTTGAGAATTACCCCCTAACCACTAAACCACCAATCAGCTGAGACAGGGCGCAGAGGCCACTGTGTTGCGTACCGATTGGTTTATGGGGTTCTTGCTTGCGAGGGAGTGGTTTGATCCAAAACTCAAGGGTTGGCATGTGTTGAGACATGCGTACGTGATTTTTTTTCTAGGGGTTGAGAGCCCAACCCACATGCCATGGCAGTTGGCAGCTCATGAAAGGTGCTGTGCCTGTCTAGAAGAAGCAAGACACTTGCCTACATGACCAGCGCTCATGGAGGTACGCTGGCTCGGGTAACCTTCCAAACCATGTGAGCCACAATCAAAACCCGGGTAGATGATCCGTTTAGTAAGGGACAATCCCAGCCATACATAGTTGCGGCCGCCTTCGTATTTATGGTTCTGGGGATCAACCATTTTAATACCGGGTTTTGATTGTGACTCAGGGCTCCTTAAAAGATACATTTTGCCCATTTGAAGCACGGCATGTTACGCCAAAATAACGGGAAGCCACCATTGACAAGGCAATGTTCAGGTGTAAGGACCCCTGTGTAATCTGATAGTGTAACCTGTAATCTGAAAATCATGTTCCACCAACATGAAGTTCGAAGTCATCTGATAATGTAAGAATCCCTGTTCATGTTTCATCGGAAGGGTCAAACTTCGCCACCTGCCCACACGCTCCGGTTGCGCAAGTCTGCGGTGGATGTGCTACTGGAACCCCATCGAGTCCGTGCATACGTGCCTGGCCGGTCACGTTCGGCTGGTTCAAGAGATTTCTATGTCATTTGGGTGAAGTATAACGACCTCACAAGACCTCACCCCAAATGGTGGTTTATGTGGGGAATGGCTCCCCCCCCCCCAACCACCTCAATTTCAGGTTGGCCCTTATTTCAGGTTGGTGAAATATTATAACTCACCTAGATGTCATTGGCGCATTCTAGACTGGAAGGTGAGGGACTGAAGGACTGAAGCTGAACTGGCCAGTGGACACTTTCTCCAGACCAAAGGTGTTCTCGGAATTGTATGATCTGATTGCTTCAGACAATTCGTTGAGTCGGGGCCAAGAGGCCCAGGATTGCTGAGTTTGTATGAGTTTGTATGACCAGATTTCTTCGGTGCCCAGAACTCGCTACGCGTGAGCGGGGCCAAGACGCTGATATTGCCGAACACCAGTTGGACATGTGCGGTCCATTCCCCCGCAACTGCATAGATCGATCTACATCTAGAATCAATATGTTGACGATCCACAAATCGGCAATCATGCAGGTCGACAAGCAACCAAGCAAAGAATGAACCTTGCAAAGTGAATACAAGTTACTGTTGCGGTGCTTGGCGTGTCCAAATGTGAGCCTTCCCCCACATAGCAAACCACAAGTCGAACGCCAGCAAGTGGTCCGGGTGCCCCCCTTCTCTGTTGTCTGAACGTCCTGGAAAACCGAAAGGCAGCAAAGAAGTACTGGGTTTGGTTGAGGTGGTGGTGTTCAAGGGAGAACCCACCCCAGGAGAAAGAGGCGGGGCTCAAACAGATGGGTCAGAGAGCGAAGAAGGCTCTCAGAAGCCAACCTTGACATGAGCTATGCTCACAAAATGCCTCACGCAGTTGTCACACTTTCCTGGAAGCCAATGGTTGCAGCTCATCACAGGATTCCTAGCTTGGCTAGTTCCGTCCTTCAACTTCAGCTGGGGCCTGGAACCCCCCAAAGCCAAAACCATCCTGTCAAGAGGAATCTGCTGTTGGGGCACCCCCTTTCTGGGTTCATGTTTATTTGCTGGGGTGTGGTTGTCTGTTGTTTTGCTCATCCTCGATCTCCCCAAGGTGGCGCTCATGGCGGCTGTGTATTGGGTGATGTGCATGGATGGACCACGGACATCCTTGATCCAAGCCACTCGGCCAATGGGAATTTTCCTGCCATGCTCAGTCCCCTTCTGTATGGTTGAGGCTGAGCCCAACCGCAGCTTAGACATGTCCAACGTTGATGGCCCAACTGAATTGGTTTGCCGAAGGACCTTGCTTCTGTCATGCTCCTACAAGGGCCAGGTCTGAACGTGGGGGTTGAAGGGCAGGCACATACTCGAGCATGTCAATTCTTGCATCCTTTCAGATGATGCAAATGACATGTTTTCGTTGCCTTCAGACTGCCTTTGCGACGCCGGCAGTGTGCTTTGCTTACGTTCAACGGCGTTGCTGACATGTGTGTCACTATGTCACATGCCTGCCACTGAGTTTACTATAGTCCCTGTGGGACATATTTTCATTTTTGCGCCAATCGCTGGGTCATGCGGCTTTTTTTCTTCTCTGTCTTCGACGTGACCCAGGAAGGCTTCAAGATGCGCGAAACTGCGGTCATCGAGTTTTTCGGGTCAAAGGACTGGGCGATGTCAGTGAGCTGATGATTTTGGGGCAACTAACTACTGCAGTTCCTCAATGAAACAATTGTTGTGATTTGGTTTTGCAGGCCACCGAGTTTCCCTTGTATACATTGAAGTGCGCGTGTGACTTTCGCAACAGAGCCTGTAGCCATTGTCGAAGCTCACACCTTCCAGTGATTCCATATCTTACTGCACTTGGAAGGAATCCCAGTTGCCCAGTGGCTTGCTTTCTTTTCTCCTTGCTTTGGCAAGGGTTCCCCTTTCAACTCTCGCCCTTCCCCTTAGTGGAGTTTTGGCTTCGGCCAGGCTGTGGGCTCCACTCACTCCAATTGGGGGGGGTGGGGCCTTGAGCAATGTGGCGGAACCAACAAAGGCTGCCGATCCCTTTCTGGAAATCCACTGGGCATTGGGCGCAGCCGTCGCAGGGCCCGGGCCGCCTGGAGCGTGGTCTCTGGCGTGCGCGCCCGTGCGGGGGCCTGGAGAGAGATCGTGGAACTGCGTATCCTTCCGTGAAGAGGTACCGACGAGAGAAAGATCCATGATAAACATCCATAGCCAATCATCTATGATCCATGGATATTTGTTTGTTGTTTAACATGCGGGAGTAAAACACATCCATACATGAACTCATGGACAGAGAACCATCCATCACCGATTGGGGTAGAATCATTGAGAGACATCTATGATCAAAACCAATTCGGGTAGGATTGTTGAGACACGTCCATGCGATCGCATTAGACAACAGCAGGACCAATTGGTGTCCTTTTAGTCGGTGAGCTTGCTCTAGAAATCGATGGGACCCCCGCACGGTTCCACTGGTTTAGATTGGCATGCCCCATCCAGGGAAACCCATCCCGTTGTCAGCTCAAGGAGCCTCTGGGAAGGAAAGCGGAAGGCCGCGCATGCGCCCGGAAAGTGGGATCGCTTGGGCTTAATTTGCATAAGATCCCAGCGACAGGTGCGTAATTCAGGGGTGAATTCTATGGCCCTCGTTTTTCGGAGCGGACGGTGCATCAAGTACCTTTAAATTGGTGGTTTGGATTGGTGGTTTGGGATTTTACCCCATGGTTCTTGTGGAGGGTAAAAGGGAAGCCCCTTCCTAACCTCCAAACCACCAATCCAAACCACCAATTGAGGCAAAGCTGAACTCAGTCTGCAGGAAGATCTCCCTAAGGCCAATTGAAAGCCTGGGAGACACGTTTTTTGTTCCCACCCTGGCCCCAGTTTGCGTCAAAGCCTGGCTTCACAGCATGCCCATCAAACAAGGATACATGAGTGGAAGCAGTGGCGCCGTCACATAAATTGGCAAAGCTGTGCGTGAGGCGGTGTGATTGTAACGTTCAAGCGCCGCCTGAGCTGGCAAGACGGCTGAAAGCACCGCCTTGAGGCTCATCTATTTGCTGATTCGCTGCTATGCCACCAGCGGCTTCACTGAAGACCCGGCGCTTGCGCTGAATGAGGGGAGATTCGATTTCAGACGCCTCCACCTAGCGTTGGAGTAACTGGGTTGCTCTGAGCCCTTCACCAAAACGTGTGGCAGAGATTCCGTTTTGTTTCCTCTTACGTCTCCCGCACTTTGCCACAATTGTATACTGCACCCTTGTTTCAAGGTCAGAGCAACCCTCACTAATGCACGGGGCTAACATGCCCGCTAGAGGGTGGGCGCCTCACTGAAGACTGAATGCAAAACGTGTTCGCTTCAGGACCATGGCGAAGCCTCCTGAAATCAGCGCTGGCGGCAAATAACTCAGAGCGAAGCAACACCTGTCCAACGAGCGTCGCTACGGATATGATGGATGGAGTACACAATACTTGGCACATCTTGACATCACTCACGGAAAGACTCTTTGAGAATGCGGGTGCCACACGAGTCCCTTTCGCATCACCACAGCAACTCTGCCACCAGACTTCCATGGCTGAGCACTTGCCTACAAGTACATTGACATCGGCATACAAGATGTCCGAGAGCTACAATTTCCACCAGAATTGCAAATATGCTTCAATCTCTGGAACCTCAACTGCTGGCATGTGAAATGGTCGTTCATTTGCCTTGCGCGGTAAATTGGTTAAGAGGGTTTTCTTTCTTTTTAGTGCAATCCACGAGTAGACGTTACTTGAATTGGAAGCTTCCAGAGGTGGCCTGGGGTGCGCCTTGCTGCTGCGACGCGGCCCGCCCCATAGCTCGATCTGTGGAGGTTTTGGTCTGGTGGCTTTCCTCGGATTGAACCCCAAGGCATGCCAGCGGCGGATGGCCAGACATGGGAGGCCCGAGCCTTTGGTTCAGAGCCTTCAGCGGCCATGATGAAGTGAGACGACGAGTCTATCGGAACCCAAAATTAATTAACCACCTCCAGTTTATGAATAGGGGGGTTTGTTCTCCTCCGAAAAAGTGGACTGATTGCCCTCATTTCACCCAGGGACAAGCATGAAGCGGCCCAGGAGCCGTTTATTGAAACTCAACCTCGCCCATATCCAAAGCCCATCGTGTCCCATCGCTTGGTCCCGGTGGCTGCACTTGAGGCGCTGCAAGTTGGGGGCCCAGCTGATGGGTCTTGAGCCACTGGCGCTTGGTGATGGAGCACTCCTTCCAAGTGTGGTCAGCTCGTGATCTGGTTGCATGCCGTTGCTCACAGGCTCTCGCAGGATGCAATCAGTTCATCCCACCAAAAAAGTTAAGATGACAGTTGCCACGTGTCCTAGGAAAGCAATCCTAGGAAAGCAATGCCAGCAACTTTGACAGCGAATGCTTCTGTTGTAAAAGAACATGGTTTACAACATGCGGCTGCTTCTCACATTGGACCAGCATTACCAGCCAGGCACCAGCGGGATGCAGAAGTGAGTCAAACTGATTTTCTTGCGTGCCCCAACCATGGACATGACCGCTGCTTGGCGTTCGAGCTTGTCGGCGTCTGCAGCTGAGTTCATTCCCGGAACAGCGTGGTCAGCCGCCCCCAACACCTTCGGAACTTGGGAGGCAGCTGCCGACAATTCTTATTGGGCTCGCCCTGTGTGCCAATTCCATGACGGCAGAGGGGGTTGCCGGCATGGAGACAATTGCCGATAAGCGCATTTAGACTTGCCAAGCGATGGCTCCAACGAGATCCATGTGAGTTGCTTGGCGGCTCATCAAACTAAAGATGAACTTTGCAGCTTCTTTGGTACATATGGGAGGGTACTGCGTGTCAAAGTTCATCGAAAGGTCATGAAGAGACAAGTGCACCACTTTGGCTTCGTAGTGTTTGCAGATAGTGCAGCCGCAGCTGATGCTATACGTGCCGGGCACCCGACTTGGAAGCTCCAACGTGTACGGATGGACAAAGCAGCGACACATGCTCTGGATCCAATGTCCATTCGTTTTACTCACTTTACAATATCTTTCTGTTTCCGGAACGGCAATGAACTTGACATGGTCATCCAGGACATTCTGGATGGCGCCTTGTCTTTGGAAGCTTTGCCGCCCATGGAAGTTGTTATGCACAATGAGGTGCATTATTCCCTGTCAAATCGCCGCCTATTTGTGGCACGTGTGCTGGCCACTTTGGGGAAGCTGTCTGAAGTGAAGGTGCGCATTCTCGATTTCGATGACGAGCGCGTGCAGGGACTCAGAGATGGGATAAGCAAGTGGGAACGATCCTTCACTACCGAGAATAATGGCCTTTGCGTCTTTCCAAGATTGCCGTGCGCAATATGCCGTGACGACCACATGAGTGCGTTTCTTGATAAGCAGGCAGGCAGCAACTTTAACTTTGATCGCGCATTCAGCTCAATGTCACGCAAGGCCCTGACCAGAATGTTTATAGGCATGCCAGCGAGACGTGGTCGTGAAACGATCAAAGAGAAGGAGCTGCTCAGCATGATGCGTCTTCTTGGTGCCGGTGGTCTTTTTCGTGACCCGTACAGCATGCCTTTTGAAGCAGAGGAGCAAGATGCTGATGATTTCCTTGATGAATGGGATGATCCCTACCTGGGCCTCTTTGGTGGCCTTTACTCACAGCATGCGTTTGGGGGAGCCGGGATTAGCGCGCGACATCTTGTGGAGGGCTCCCGCGTGCGTGTGAAGGAGGGCGGCTGCAGCATTTCTACAGCAAAGCCAGGAGAAGAAGGGGTTCTCGTTGATTATGACCGTGCGGCTGGCACGTGCATCGTCCGCCGACTTTCAGATGGCAACTGCATGCAAGTTTCTGCGAGTAAGCTGGAACTGGCAGAAGACAAGACCACGGCCCCTCATTCCGCAGAATGTGGCCCAAGATGGACCTGGTCGGAGCACGGGGACGAGGTGCAGGTGCTTTTTGCCATTGAGCCTCCTGCCGAGAAGAAGGAGCTGAGGGTGAAATTTGAGGCCAGCGGTCTAAAAGTTGAGCTACGGGGAGAAGCGATCCTGGACGGCAACACTTTTGGGAAACTGGAGGTGGGGGACTGTACCTGGGTCCTGGCGGATGGGGGGACCGAGCTGCAGGTCATGCTTACCAAAAAGGTTGAAGAACCTTGGGGGGTTCTGCTGATAAGTGGCAGGTGATACTGCGGGCACCGAAGGTGCACACGCTTCAACTCTTTAAGACTTAGTTTGCTCACGCGACGCCTCTTGAGCAGAAACCAACTAGAGTGCGCAGTGTTAGAGGTTGTGAGTAAATTCATCAACAGCAATGGACAAACCTGGTGACTCACGACATGTGTTGATCACATTGTGCACCAAGTGTTTGTCCCGGCTTGCCTCCAGACAGCTGGCATGGCGACCTATGTTGCATTGGGTTGCCATGGCGGGTGATTTCCTGAGGCTGACTGGCTGAAGCACGCGCACATCTTGCTGAGGCCAGCTGGAGGTTCCACTTGATGGGCACAACTTAGAATTGGGAACCTTTGGTAGACATCATTTAGGAGGGCTTAATGTACACCAGCCACCTTTCAAAGGTTCCCCATGATCATTTGCCAGCTGTTGCATGCTCCTGCTCACGGAAACAAACCTGGGCTCAATCTTCAGATCTTTTTGCCATCCAGGTGGGCCATTGAAAGCTATTGGCTAGTCCCGCCCAGCACAACAGTTTTATTGGACATGTTTGATGATCCGTAAAAGCCGATACCATGGTGTGTGTGTGTGCCTTTTTGTTTGACAGGTGCTGCAAACCCTATCTCTGAGGCGGAAGACCTGCCCCATCTCCGTGCGCTACGTGCCCAACGCTTTTGCGCCTAAGACGGTCAAGGCCGGCGTTGAGCGTGCATCTCCAGATCCCATCTCGGTGCCAACATCTGCCTTCGGCTTTTCTCCAAATGGATCGCTACTGGAGGGTGCCTGCTTCTGAGATGTCGTTAAATAGTAGTTGTTCGCTATATGGACATGGATCAAAACCCCGTACCCCCAGTGAACATCCCGATCCTAACTAAAATGGACTAACATGGGTGGTGCACCTACCCCAAAATGGGATCCCATTGGTTTTGACCCATGGCCATATGGTATTGTTGAACATTGCTAATGCAACATGTCGGGAACAGCTATTCGGCCCAGAAACTAGACGTGCTGGAGGAGAATCCGTGATAGGAAGGTGTAGTCATGCCCCCCTCTGCAAGTCACTAGCGCCTTGCCAGATCACTCTCTACTCTTTGAGCGACGTGCTGTGCGCCGCCAACTTAGAGCCTTTGAGAGATTTGCCCTGCCAAACCCAGATTCTTCACTTTGACAGATGCGAGTTCAGCTCTCTTTTTTCAGATGCGTCTGAATTGAACAAGGGCACTCCCTTTAGCGTCCTTCGTATCATTCACATGCTGCGGGTCCAAAATGGGTACCCAAAAATGGAACCCCAGCAAATGGAACCGTGGCCTAAACATGGGGTTTGCTGGTTGAATTTTGACTCATGGCCATATCGCGTGTCCAGCTTCCTCACTTCTCCGGGGATCCATCCAGCCAACTCGCACCTTGAGGCGCTGCCGGCTGGAAGCCTCGGCACCTGGGGCCAGCGACTCAGCCGTCGGGGAATTTGGCCCCAAAGTGATTGGACATGAGCTCGTGTGGAGAGCCCAAGCATATTTTCCTAAAATTGAGGCCCATGTCAATTGCTCAAACATTTCTTGAGCCTTCCTGCTGAGCAGGTTATGACCAAACGAGCTCTTTTTCAGCTGCTAGATGTCTTGAATCAATCCACCCGATTCGGAGGGTAATCACCATTAATTCGTTTCTGTGCGATGGCGAAGAGAGGAGTGAAGGCTCAGCGGTTTACCCATCCAGACGGTTTCCTCGTAATCAAAGGCATGGCCTCTTCCATTCCTCCCATCTCCACTAATCATAAGGAATTACCACAGAAGAAAGGGAGATGAGGGGAAAGGTCATCCTCTTTTCCTTCCGTCTGCTTCTCTCCGTTCATTCGCGAGGAAGAGGAACGGATGGAAAAGGAAGGGAGATGCAAGGTCCACCATTTGTCACCTCTTAATCTCTGGGACATCCAAATCCATCCCCCATCATGGCAACATCTCTTCCTCACCTCTCGCCTCGCCGGTGCGTGAAAAAGAGAGGACAGGATGGATCGCCCATTCTTCTCTCATCCCTCATCCCTGTCTCTCAGCCTCTCAGCCGTAGAAAGGATGGGCTGGAGAAGGGATTAGACAGAATGGGTGGCCAGCAGATCACCTAATCACTCATATACACGCTGCCACCCATCCCTTCATCTCCCAGCATCTCGTTCCTATCTCTTGCTCCCTTTGTTCGCGAGTAAGCGGAAAGGATAGAGATAGGCGTGGGTTAAAGTTAAACCACTAGGGGACCGCGGGTTTTAGTCCGTGTTTCCATAGGGTTCCATTTTGGGTACTTTGTTTTGACCCACAGCCAGATGAGAAAGGGAGATGATGGGTCTGGCCTGGCTTTCAATGACTGAGAAGATCCTAGGTGGCGGCGGTGCAGGGGGCGAGGCCAGTGCTCGGCTGAACCAAGGCGAGCGGTGCAGGCGCACTGGGGGGGGGAAGGGGGGAGGTGCAGATCACAGCTTGCATTCAAACATATTGAACCCAACAACTTTATAGCAGGGACGCCATCAGCTTGTTGGAGTAGTTTCAGAGTGCTCGTTTTCCAGGATTCTGGAACATGTGTTTGGGTTGATTCAATACTTCATCTGGCTTAATTTCCAAATTTAATTCTATGAGTTGCTTGATTGATTCTGTGGGACTCCCGCGCTCCTTTCAAGCAACAACATGTTTAAACAATGCATTCACGGCGCCAAGTCATGTGTATGAGGCCGGAACGGCCTCGCTTTTCGGGAGAATGTCGAACTAGTCGAACTAGTGGCATGTTTGAAACTCGGTCTGTCTTTCCAAGAGACAGATAAGTTCCTGGTTGAGAACGTGAACTGAGAAGGCAGAGCTGAATAGCTAGCCAGTACCAGGACACCAAGAAGGGCATCCCCATTTTGATGCCTCCGAACCAAAAGGGTGACAGGCACACTGAACTTGGGGCTCGTACTGTGCTTTCTGTGGGCAGGCTGCGGCCTGCAACGGAAGAAGACACCTTCCGCCTGCGGGTAAGGCTGCCCAGGATGAATGAGCCCGGCCTTTGAACTGGGGCTTGCTTCTGCCTTGCAGAGATCGTAACCTGCTGGATGGGTGTTTTTTCGTTTGATTGTTTTTGTTTTGTCAACAGAGAGAATTTGTGTTGCCTGGCTAGCAATACCTAGGGCTTTCACTCTGCGATGACGTTTGAGTGGCTCAGTAGATGTGGGAGGGCTGGGTGCTGCTCAGAGGTTTACCGGCCCGCGCCGCTGCTGAACGTGGTGTTGCACGATGGGGTGCAGGACAGCCAGCGGTTGAGTCCCAAAGTGATGCATGCCTGGAAGAACCCCAGCTTTGCCAAATGAGTCGCAATCACCCAAGTCGTTGGAGGGTGCCAGTCCCAGCCGTAAATGGGTGCAGATATCCGCCTTCTTGATTCTTTACATGGTTTTGGGTAGACCATTGTAATACCGGCTTTGGATTCTGACCCTACGGGCTGAAGACAAGGGTTCGGATGCTTGCCCAATAATTGGTGATGGCAATCTCTAGCGGGCCGGGCTTTTGCGAATCACAGATTCGGAGCCCCGGAAGATGCCGGAAGATGCCAAGCTCGTAATGAGACTCGTAGCTCAGAAATGGTAAACCATGGACAGTTGACATGTCGTCTCATGCCCCAGCAGCAAGCACTAGCACGAGGCCAACCGTGAATTCTGGGCAACCAAGGAATCGTGATTGGTCATCGAATTAAAGAATGGTTTCGAGGCATTAGTGATTGGAGCTAGCAGTTTCTTCATATTGCCACAAAATCATCGGGCACTTATCAACCCCACAATACATCAAAGGGAAGCAAACAATAGAATATATATTCTATAACTGGGCCTAAGTCTAATCATGCATTGCTCCCGTGCTTTTGCCTTGATGTGGCGTTCGCAGGTTTGCAGAGGCGACCGTCTGCTTGTGACTGTCTCTGAGGCCGGTGAGGCCTGGCCGTGTTACGTGCGGACAGTGGGGAGCAGTGGTACCTTGCAACTCAATGAGTCCCTTCCAAACTTCTCCTGGTGCCTTCTTTTTCGTCAGGCCAAGGTCTACTCGGAGACGCCGAGGCGCGGGCAGTTGCGACTTTTTGAGCTCGAGACGCCAAACAGAAACCAAAAGGAGGGCCAAAAGGAGCTTGACACATTCGCGCACGCAAGCGGCTTTTGTTTGCAGCTCTCCTGATTTTGATTGCAGGCGGCCTGCATCAGATGCTGCAAGCGATCTTCCGGAGGTGCAAATTGGAGCGGCGACAGGTGGTGTTTCTCGTGTTTCGGGTTTTCGAATGAACGCCACGCTGACTTCCATAGGACTTCCTTGGCACGGGGTCATTCTCAAATTCAGACAGGTGGCGGGAATTGCCATGGCGTTTTGCGGTTCCTCTCATTCACAGTTCCTCTCTGTTGGCTTTTGCGGCTTTTTATTGGGTTTATGCGGCTTTTGCAGCTTTGGCTTTTCGCATCCTCTGCATTACCAGTTCCTCTCCACATGGCTTTTTGGCTTTGCGGATTTGGTGGCTTTCTGGCTTTGGCTTTTGGCACCAATTCCTCTCTGGTGGGCCCCCGCCCCGCCGCTACTTTCTGGATTTGTTTGCAAAGATTAAAATGCATCCCTAATTGAATCATCACTTTTTCGATCATCACCGGGGGGCTACCGCCCCCCCTAATTCTCCCGCTACTTTTTAGGTGTTTTACAGGGATTCAATTGCACCCCTATTTCAATTCTCACTTTTACCATCATGAGGGTTTTAACATGCATACATAATACCTACCCACCTTGCCGGAGAGGACCTGATGATGCTGAGGATGTAGGAAGCCCTCGATTTACTAATAATACTGAACTTGACTGGACATGTGGGGGATGTTGAAAACGATGCTGATGATGTTGAGGGGCTAGTGAAAAATACGTACATGTTGTGAGAAAATGCTGCAACATACAGCACAAATAAAACAAACAAAAACTCAAATTAAATCTCGACCGTTTGTTTTACGACCTCACCAATGAAATCTTCCTTCGCGGTTCCTGCACGCGGTGTCCAGACTCTGTAAACGGCTAAGTGAGGTCTTGCTGCTTGGGCAAGTACCCTGCAACGTAATGCTCTTACAATGTGAGCCAACCGCATGGTTGCTTGTGCCTTGTCACATAATGCGAATTTGTGGCAACACCATGCCAGTGAAGAAGTGTGGTTTGCTATCATGTATTCAGGCGGAGAGAAGGGTCGGCGTGTTACAAAGATGCACCTGAGGCGCCCGTGTTGCGGGGACTCCCAGCACAAGAAAGGCGAAGAGAGCCTCTGGCCTGAAGTGGGAGTTAGCCAAGGGCTGGACGAAGGCATGTTTTCATGCTTGAAGTCAAAGAGTCCCTGTCTCCCAGGCCCGATGGCGACACTGAGGGCGAGAGCGGCTACGTGTCTTAGGTGCCATAGGCTTCCAGTGGTCCAGGCTCCTTCCTCTTGGGACTGCGTTTGAGATTGAACTGTCGACAACCTTCTCGCATTCGAGCCATATAGATGCGACCCAAGACTGCATGTTAGGTCAGCCTGCTTCTCACTGCCCTTCTCTTGGTGCCCTCGTTGTCCCAAATGCAACCATGGAATCCACTTGCAACCTCCCAGCAGATGCGTCTCCAAGCGGGTGTGGAAACAAGAGCCTGAGGTATGGAGTAGGGTATCGTTCTTGATGTTGACCCCAGACTACCAAACCCCCGTTGATTAATATGGGAGTGCCCCTGGTTTTCGTGGGGATTTATCGGGAACAATTTGATATTGATAAACAGGGGTTTATTAGTCCGGGGTCAACATTACTCGTGATGCAGACGTCAGACCCCTTTCGTTTCTTTTGGCAATCAGGGTGCCGGTGTGATCACTTCACCAAGCTTTGGTGATAATGTTTGCAATGAACAAAAATCCATTGATGAACACGGGCATCACCCTGTTGCTGAATCACCTGTACATATTCCCCAGTCACGCCAGCAAGCTTGGATTTTCGTTGGTGGGTGCTTGCTTGAAAAGGTGCGATCTTTCTGCAGCAGTGCTGTGGCTTCATGAGGGCTGGATCATGCCGGTGAACTGATCCAATGCAATGGAGGGGCCGCTTTGTGTGGACTTCCGAGCATCTCCGCTTAGCCGCTGCTTTGTGTTTGCAGCCAGAATCGTAAGACCAGGGCAGGGGGACCTTTGATTCTATGACCAGGCTACAACCCTTTGGCTAACATTTTCTTGCTGCGGTGCGCAGGTGGAACCATTGCCTCTTCCTAGAGTACGGCGGCACTTGAAGGCAAACAAGGTTTGATGCACAGATGTAGCAAGCGAAAACACTAGAAACCAAGCAGCACAAGAACAGATTTCAGCAAAAACACTTGACGCATGTTTCCGTCGCTCATGGCAGGTGCCAAGCAGAGCTGTCAGCAGTGCGAAAGAGCAGCGGCACTCTGGCCGCAACTGGCGACACGTATCGGCACCACATTCATCTCCGTATGCAGAGTTGTGGTCTTGGTCTTGGTACTGTTACCCCCGGATTAATAAACCCCTGGGTGGGGTGTCCCCTTTTAGTGGGGATTCATCACTTTGGGAGGGAACACCCCGCTAACAATGGGACGGGTTTATTAGTCTGGGGTTTATGCCGAGTGGAATCCTCAAAAGGGCAGAGGCAATGCCGAGGTGCATCGCCGGGCTATGACATTGCCGATATGCCCTGCGCTCAGCAGCAAGCCGATGGCAGTGACGCTTGAAAATCCTTCAGAGGCATAGGTGCGGGCCTGGCTGCTTTTGTTTTCTTTCTTGAGAAGGCGTCCCACACTTTCTGCCAGAACGGTGCCGAGGTCATCTTTGGACCATCTGAATGATGCAGAGACGGTGCGCCCATGGCCCGCGAGTCTACTTTCCAAACATAAGCTCGGGAGCAAGTGTTTGCTAACTTTGAAGCTTTTGACTCGGGAGGTTTCTGAATCGGGGCCCCAAGTTTCGAAAGTGTCTGTGGCCTGAGCTCCAACATCACTGGCTGATCTTTGAGCAGTCAGCTCGACAGCTGAAAGCTTGTAGGCGCTGGATGATCCCCAGCCAGCATGCGAGGCTGGGCTCAGGGGGATGGGACCATTGCCACAGCCCTGCTTCATTTATTTTTATTATTATTTTTCATTTCTCTTTTCAAAGAAAGTGAGTAAGGCTTTAAGTCTCATGCGTCTCATGTCCAATCTGCACTTCATTTTTTTTTCAATTAAAGTGAGTAAGGCTCATGCGTCTCATGTCGATTTAATCTGCACTTTCATCATGGGTGGGGGGGTGTTCCTGAACGGAGGTCGGCAGCCAGGGCGTGCAGCCGGGTTCTGAGTTTCTGCGGAACGGGCCGAAGTGTCGTTGCAGCAAGTTTGAAGGTCAGGGGAAACAGTGACCAGACACAGTGTAGGTGTTATTGCCTGCTCAGCTTCCATTGAACAGGTAATGCCATTGTAGCTGCCATCATTCAATCCCTGATCTACGTCTATGAGTCCAATCGAGCATATCACTGTGACCAAGTGCGATTCTCTCGCTAGAAGTGTGTTTCATTTGCCGACTGTGATGTACATGAAAGCCCTGAGTAGTGCGGCCGCACTGGTCCAAAAAGCGCTGATCAATCAAGCCACATGCTGATAAGCTGTGACGCGGTTGCGATGACCTATCAATAAGGAAATTTGGAACAAAGCAACCCTCCACCAGTATAGGTAGTCTCTCTCTGCATTTGGGTGCTTGCTTCCTCGTAACTGCCCGCCTGCATGCCTGCGCGGCTTGCGCGCATGCTTTGGGCGCATTGCGTACCTTGCCGTGGGTTGCCTTCCCTGGCTTTGCCCTGCCTGGCCTTTTTTGCTTTTGCTTTGCTTTCCTGTTCTTGCTTGGCTCGGTTTGCTGCTTTGGCTTTGCTTTGCTTTGCTTTGCTTTGCTTTGCTTTTTTTGGCTTTCCTTTCTTTGCTTTGCTTTAAATGCTTGCTTGAAATGCTTGCTTGAAATGCTTGCTTTAAATGCTTGCTTGAAATGCTTGCTTGAAATGCTTGCTGTAAATGCTTGCTTGAAATGCTTGCTTGAAATGCTTGCTTGAAATGCTTGCTTGAAATGCTTGCTTGAAATGCTTGCTTGAAATGCTTGTTTGAAATGCTTGCTTGAAATGCTTGCTTGAAATGCTTGCTTGAAATGCTTGCTTGAAATGCTTGCTTGAAATGCTTGCTTGAAATGCTTGCTTGAAATGCTTGCTTGAAATGCTTGCTTGAAATGCTTGCTTGAAATGCTTGCTTGAAATGCTTGCTTGCACGCTTGCACGCTGGCATGCTCGTTTGCTTTGTTTTCTTGCACTGGCTTGCCTTGAATTGCTTTGCTGGCTCGCGTTCATGTGTGCTCTCATGTCAGCCCAGCATGTCAGACCTGGTGGTCGGAATCGTATTTCAGGTGCGAGCTGCTGGCCGTGACCCTGGATAGACTCAAGAGCCTGGGGGAATTAATTGAGGGTCGGCGCATCAATTGCTTTTGCTATTCCCATGGTTCATCGAAGATCGCAACACCGACGGAGCCAGTTGGTGCCTGCCTTTTGTCTAGAGCCTGCGTCGCAGGGCAAGCATCACTGAAGAGGCCTCTTGTCAAGAGGCCAGTTTCTTTCAGAAGTTTGGAGCATGTTGGTAGGTCAGGTTAGCAACAGGCAAGAGAGCTTCTCACAGGCCACAGCTTCGCTGTGGCAAAACGATGGGCAGCAGCGCCGGTCGCTGATGTCGGAGGTGGAGGCGTGGAGCCTTTTCGACGATGACGCGAGCCCTTGCCCGCCTGCGGCCACGGGCATGTGCCCTGGATGCAGCCGCAAGAAGCGAGCGCTACCAAAAGCCCGTACCCCCCATGAACATCCCAATCCCTACTAAAATAGACTAAAATGGGGGGTGCACCTACCCCAAACAAGTTTTGACCCACAGCCAAATGAGTGCAAGCTTGTTCCATCCCTCTCGCTTTTGAATGTATTAGTAGCTGACCGAGATGCTATGCCCGTGCAGCATCCTTGAATCTCCGTGAGACATGATGCCATTGGCATGTTTGCACCGCAGGTAACCTTTCCCATGTGGGATTAAGCACAATTGTTTGGTGGTTTTCCATCCAATGGTCCCATGCTTACCGGTCCTTTTGATCAACTCTCAAATACGGGGGAAATCAACCAAGGGATCGCCGGGGGGAAATCCTCCGCGAGGCTTGAAGAAGGCTTCCTGTCCCTCGACCCCGTGCTGGTGGCCGAGACTTGGCTGTGTGGTCAAAACCGTTAAACAGGATCCCATTTTGGTGGGTAGGTGAATTCACCACCCATTTTAGGTTGCCTATTTGAGTGGTTGGATGGGGATGCTCACTGGGGGGTTTCCGGGATTTTGACCCATGGCCACTTGGCAACGGGTTCTCATGAACGACCCAAAGTGGAGGGCAGTCGGCAAGCCTCACTTGTCGTGGGCGGAGTCCAAGCACCCACTTGTGGATTCGCTTCCGTCGGGTAAAGATCCAAAAGGACACCTAGGCCCATCCGGATCCGGGGGGAGTACGGAGTATCTCGGCTTCTCAGGGCTGTTCCCTTGACTGCTATTGGCTTGGATCTTTAGACTTTAAACCTCTTGGTTGAAATTCAAGTCGGGTTTTCCACTCAACCCACCAACAAGTTTTTTTTTTTTGCAGAGGGGTCAACAGACTCCAAGTCAGGACATCTTCATCGCCTCGGACGGCGTGGTGCCGCTGCTGCCGCGGCTGCCGCGGGTCTGCCGCGCCTTCCGCGCGGCCGCGCAGGAGGCGCCCTGCTGGCGGCGCCTCACGCTGCCGGGGCGGCTGCCGTGCGGCGCCCTGGCGCCAGAAGCGACGCAGCGGGGGGGGGGGGGGGATGGAGAGATGGAGAGATGGAGAGGGGTGATGGGAAACATGGGGCGTTGAGTTGAGTTAGCTTTGGAGGTGAGGGGTAATGATGAAACACAGAGAGATGGAGAGGTTTCAGCCCACTTTTCCATTTACCAGGGTTCCATGTTGGGCACTTATTTTTGACCCACAGCCGGGTGAGGGGAAGCAGGGGCGTTGAGTCGACTTAGCTTTGAAGGGGTAATGATGGAAATCATGGGGCGGAGAATCGAGTTGGCCTTAGAGGAGTAGGCTGTGTTTGGAGCTGAAAGTGTGCTGAACCTGAACCGGTTGATGCTCATCCAGCTTGAGCGCTTGCCAGGGTCTTGTGCTGGCATGGGAGGTCAAACATCAAACAAAGATCGACCCTGATGTTTGGGATCGATGTGAAACTCATTGTGCCTGAGTGCAGGCAAAATCTGGGTTCATGTCACGTGTACGGCTCATGCACATCTTCAAGAATGCCAAAGCTTGAGCCCCAGATTTGCTTCCGCTTGTTGGACGCGTATCGGCATGTTGCTGTGCAAATCACGTGTGGTTGTGCCACCCTTGATTTCTTGCTTGCCGCGCGATATTGCCGCCTTGGTGGGTATTTGAATTTGTTCCCGCGGACATATCAGACCCACCGACCCACCTAGCCTCGACCATGGTGAGGTACTGCTTGTGTTGACAACCTCGTGACCTCGCCGCGACTCCTCCCTGTCTCTTTTTGACAGGTCTATGTCTCACAAACCAGTCTAGCTGAAACATTTGGTTCATTGAACTCATTGGAAATCAAGCGGCGCATGCTGACTCCTCGAAGACCCTAACCGGGGATGGCTTCGTCCCGACCGGGCCCGAATTAAATTTTGCAGTCTGTATCTTCGATTTTTAATTGGACATGCGCCCCGTTTTTGATGTGAGGACTTTTTGCGATTTCTGATCTGTGCGCACGACCCTCTGCGGAGATGGGCGTGGTCGATGTTAAAAAAACTGGGGACATTACGATTTCTGCAGTGCGCACGCGACCGTCTGCGGAGATCCGCGTGGTCGATGTCATTTTTTTAAACGGTTATTAATCTGTGCGCGCGAGATGCGCTTGGTCGATGTTACAAAACTGGGGACCCTCCGCGGAGATGGGCGTGGTCGATGTTAAAAAACTGGGGACATTTTACGATTTCTGCGGTACGCGCGCGACCCTCTGCGGAGATCCGCGTGGTCGATGTCAAACAACTTTTTGTTTTTTGAAACGATTTCCTCTGCGGAGATGGGCGTGGTCGATGTGAAAAAACTGGGGACATTTTACGATTTCTGCGGTACGCGCGCGACCCTCTGCGGAGATCCGCGTGGTCGATGTCAAACAACTTTTTGTTTTTTTGAAACGATTTTTCATCCGTGCGCGCGACCCTCTGCGGAGATCCGCGTGGTCGATGTCATTTTCTTAAACGATTTTTGATCTGTGTTGGGGTACGCGCGCCACCCTCTGCGGAGATCCGCGTGGCCGATGTCATTTCTTTCAATCGATTTGTAATCTGTGCGCGCGACCCTTTGCGGAGATGGGCGTGGTCGATGTTGACAAAAACCGGGGACATTTTACGATTTCAGCGGTACGCGCGCGACCGTCTGCGGAGATCCGCGTGGTCGATGTCAAAACACTTTTGTTTTTTAAACGATTTTTAATCTGTGCGCGCGACCCTCTGCGGAGATGGGCGTGGTCGATGCTAACAAAAACTGGGGACATTTTACGAATTCTGCGGTGCGCGCGCGACCCTCTGCGGAGATCCGCGTGGTCGATGTCATTTTTTGCTTTTAATCTGTGCGCGCGACCCTCTGCGCAGACGTGGTCGAAGCGCTGTCGCTGCGGCGCCGTGTGAATTTGCAAGGTGCCCGACGAACCCTCTGCGGGGATCGTGGGTGTCGATGCGCTCTCGCTGTGGCGCCGTGCGAATTTGTTGCTTGCAAACTGGTCTTTGCAAGTTGTCGCGTGGTTTGCGCGGCTGCTGTCGGAGTCGCACGGTCGCGGGTTCGATCCCCGCCTGGCCCGTGGAAGCTTTTCTAGTTTGTGGACGCAGCTCCGGCTGGAAAATCGCAACTTTTAAGTACAAATGTAGTACGCGGAGTACGCAGCTCCGGCTGCATAATGAAACTTTTCAAGTAGAAAACTAGTATGCGAAGTACTTCCCGAAAGCTCCGGCGGCACTTGCGCAGAGCAATTTGCACAGAGCGCTTACGCAGAGCAACCTGAAGCAACGACTTCCACAGAGCACTTGCGCAGAGCAGGTAGCGCAGGGCAACTTGGGCAGAGCAAAAGTCAGGTTGTTCCGTTGGGAGAATTATTATCGTGAGTCATTGCGCAGAGTCATCATGACAGCCATTGCATAGAGTCATCACACAAGAGTCATTGAACGGAGTCATCACAAGAGTCATTGCACAGAGTCATCATGAGAGTCATTGCGCAGAATCACCATGAGAGTCATTGCGCAGAGTCATCATGAGGGTCATTGCGCAGAGTCATCATGAGAGCCATTTGTGTTGTAGTCACTGTTTTGCGTGAGGGCGGTATATGTGGCATCTTTGGCGTCCTTGGCAAACTCGTGTGAGGGGGGGTGCGGTAGGTGGCAAGATAGCAGGAACAAGGTTAGTTGCTGGAACTTGTCGTTGTGTATTGCTCGTGACCAGGTCAGGTCTTGCGAATCTGTGGCAGTGCTATCTCAGCGTCGGCTCAAGCGCATACCATGGAGCGCGAAGTAGCTAGACTCCAGGCAGGCGCGGCTCGTCGTGGCCTGCCGTGGCTTGAAGGGGAAATCGCAGCCAAGCGCACGAAGAGAAGGACATGGTCTGGGGCCTGCTCGCCGCGAAGCCGGAGGTCGCGAGCAACAAGCGAATGAAGGAAACGCTTTCGAAAGTGAAGTGCTCCTCTTGCTGTAGCTGATGGCTGTTTGTAGCTGACAGATCGCGCATTGAGCAAAAAACTTGCGCGGGACTGATCACGGGGCTGTGATGCTTTTGGTCTAGTTTTTATTTTTTTCCGTGGAGTGGCGTTTGGTTTGGCGGCCTCAGGCGCCGTGAGCGACGAGCTGCTGCGGCGGCTGGCGCGGGCCCATGGGCCGCAGCTGCTGCATCTCTGCCTGGACGGGGCGCGGCTGGTGGGAGATTCTGCGGTGGCCGCCCGGCAGCGATCGATGCGATCGATGCGGGGGGATCGATCCGTGGTGGCAGGGCGGGCGGTTTTTTTCCTCGTTTTTTTGAAGATAGACAGAGTCTGGCTGGCTCCCAGCCATCCGGTTCCTGAGCCTTTGTGGGTGTTTTGTTGTGAAAATTAGGCTTTGAGCGGGAGATCTGGGGACAGCTCAGGATTCAAGTCGGATACTTGGCATATCGGCATTCGGTCAAGCCGTTTTATTCTGCCATAACAGACCCGTTGCGAGACCCCAAAATGTGTTAGATCTTTTCCGCCTTGGCGTCAAGTGCAGTCTCCGTTTCACGTGGTTTGCCTGGTGCTTCCCCGGTGCCTGGGTGGTTTGCTGGGTGGTTTGCTGGATGGTTCACTGGGCGGTTGGCTATGTCAATCAA